CTCCTCCTCCTCCTCCTTCTTCTTCTTTTTCTTCTTCTCCTCCTCCTCCTCCTCCTCCTTTCAACCTGCAGCGCAACTTAATTTTTACTTTTGTGACCATGTTTCCTACTTAGTAGGGCCACCTGCCTTCAGGTAGCCATATTACGATTTTAAAGGTGCTCTATGTCACATTTTTATACTGACTAGAGCATTTTAAGTTTTGGTAGGAGGAAATAATTTTGAATTGTGCTCAGCCTTATCTTATCAATTTAGGACCACCAAGGGATCTTATACATGCGCAACTTGAACTCGGGACCTCTGACTACTCCAAAGTTTTTGTCCCTTATCCAAGGAGGCTAGGTGTTGATCTGGGGTGTGGCTGAAAGACATCGGTTAGAAGGAGCAATTATATGGTAAACTGCATATGGTGTTGATGATAGTCTTTTCAGATGTAAGCTGGTTGCGAGCGTCATAAAACCTCTACTAAAACTAAGATGTAAGCTACAGAAATGAATGCAACATCAGCTGTTTTGTAATGCCAGGGTAGCTTGAAAGTTTTTTTCTAAGAGATTTTTAAAAAATGTTAGTTCTTTGGATTATGGCAAAAGAATTTACCACTTTTGTTTGTGTCAGTACTGATGTCGATTGCTTCTATATTTCTACGATTAAGCTCTTCACCGTTGCACACAGTTGATATGAATGTGATTCCTGTTTGTTGAGAATTTTTATCAAGTATCTCGATCTTTCAGCTGGGACGTTGTATAGCTCTCTGCCCAGCTTTGCCCTGATATACAGAGTCGACGCAACCAGTCTCCTAATTGATCTAAATTGTGTCAATTGGAATGTAAAACAACTAGTCAAACCTGTGTAAGACGGCCACCCATTGTCAAGGAGAAAAGTGGCCGTATAAGACAGGTGGCCGTCTTAGGCAGGACTGATCAAGAGGAAGAAAACAAACCATTCCCATCTGAGGTCCCAATCGAAAGTAGCCATTAGCCGCATTGTTGTTGTTGTTTTTGTTGTTGTTGGTTTGTATTTTGTTTGTAATTTTTATTTTGTTGCTGATTTTGTGCAAGGCTAACAATAAAACGAAATGTATCAGACGAGGAAGACCGAGTGCCATGTTAAAACAAACACATGGGTCGCCACCACTCAGAGAACGAGCGACGCTTCTGTCGCAAGTTAATGTTGACGTCCTTTGTTACTGACTAGGTAAACAGTGACCACTCATCTCACTTACGATTTGTGTATGAGTTCTGGGCGGGGCTTATGGGTTATGAGGGATCACACGCTCTCCTCACCAGCAGCTGAAAATTGGTACCTATTGGTCAACAGTGGGAAGGACCTACGCAACATGATAGATTGGAAGGACTACCTGACAACAACGACAAGTGATTGAATTATGACGGCTCGCCCGCACAGGGGCCAATGCACAATTTATGACAAAACGTGATGGAGTCATTAAGGTAGCCGTCTAAGACAGGTGTTATTGCTGAGGGTGATAGAGGTTGTGTGTTAAAATATGGTGGCCGCAGCCGTGTTGGACAGGTGCCCGTTTTACACGGTTAAATTATATAGAAAAAACATAAGGGGGTAAATGGAAAGTGGCCGTTTGTACAGGTGGCTGCCAGGGCAGGTTTGACCTTATAAAATTTTTATGATTGTGCCATTTTCTTGAAAGGAAATGAATTGATGGGTAATTTTTCAATGGACATAACATTCATGTTTTATTGTCATTTGGACATGCTTTTTTTGTCACCATTCCTTGCTTCCTTATAGCTGGCTGGTGCTGCTTGGTGTCCATTTCTCCCCCCACGACAGCCCACACTTTTCCCTTTCTTTTAAACCCTGTTTTTTTTTATAAGTGTTTTATGGCACTTAACTGCATACGGTCATATGAACGCGCGGGACACACCAAACATTTTCTGTTTTTAGGAAATTTTGCATTTTTGCCCGGGTGGCGGCTGAAGCCTACTCTTATTGATCTGGCCTGCCATTAGACATTTTTATTTACCCAAAACTTGATTATCCTTATTGTCTCTGGTTGTTTTATTCAGTGATATCTTTTAATGTACATTTAGTTTTGAATTCCTTTGTTTTTTATCCAATTGTTTTTTCCCAAGAATGAAGATCTGCTTTTTGTCCTCAGTTTTATCAGTTTCATTAAATTTATAAAACAAACATTAACTTACTATGACTATGTATGAACATGGGCCCAATTTGGGAAAAAACAGTTTTCATCCTCTGAATCTGTTTAACCCTATCCGTACGTCGTATTTTACTATCGTATCCATACGACGTGGGATACTCTGTGCCACCTCTTTCCAAACAGGAAATTTACTCATTAATCCGATCCGTACGCTTTGCATAGCAGTATATCAAATGATTTTTTGAGAAATAGTGAAAGTTTCTTAATGCTAAAAGTAGTATTCTAAAATGTGAAGAATACAACCTTGTGGGTACAAATTGACCCCAGGGTGTACGGATAGGGTTAAATATTAGGCATATAGTGGGAATTTTTTAAAGTGTCATATTAGTCGTACAATTTCAATATTCTCTCCCCTCCCCCTACTCTCCCAACCCTAAAAAAAAAAAAAGAAAGAAAAAAGTGAACCCTCCCAATTTATTCTTTGATTCTTTTGTAAGCAATATTTTTAAACAAGTACATGTATGATGTTTGAATTGTCACTTTCTTGTTTTTAGTGGTTGGAAATGTCGCTGATGGTGTTTTGGTAACTAATATGTGCGGCTCTGAGAAAACCCGTCAGATGGTGCAGAATTTGATTTTGAGATATCGCCGAAAATAGGACCTGAACTTCATTTTAATCACAAACGAGATTATATGAAATTTAGAAAGATATACCATTTTTACGTAATATGTTTCAAGGAATTTGCTCAAAAATGATTTTAAATATTTTTAAAGAATTATTTTTGAGGACATATTGTCGCCGAATTTCCAGACAAACAAAGGGAATCTTTACTCAATCAGATGGACACTTTCTTTCCTCGGGAACCCCCACGTATTATATGCCAAAAGAAAAATAATTTTATTGCTGTTTCGGGAAAACCCAATGCTCATGAATATTCAAACATCACAGATAATTACAAAAGTTACGCATCTTCTAGTTTCACTGCTGAAAAGGTTTTTTTATGGGTGCCATTTAACCTTCTTCTGGTCCATTTCCTGCTATTCTAACCAATGTGAACTGTTCCTAACTGAATTTAAGTCCTTCGTTCTGCTTTGCAAAGTGTTTGTTTTTTTCGAGTTTACAGTAAGTAAACTGCAAGTTTTCTATTTTCAAGTGATTGAGCACTATTGTTTACTTAATTAAAATTTGTTCCCAATTTAAACAAAACGTACAGGCCCGTTTTCGCAAAACTTCACCTTCAGACCCCTGGGTACTTTAAAGTACCATAACGTTTCACGGAATGCTCGGATTGCACACAAATAAGTACAAAATTCTTGGGAAAGATGTGTCTTTCAAAACATGCAAAAAAGTCAATTTTGAAAATGTGCACCATTTGTTGAAGGGTTTTCTCAGAGCCGCACACAAATTACAGACTTTGTTTTTCAATCTTTGATTCTTTGTCTCTTGCAAGACTGGGGAAAAGCAATCTGTGGACTGAGTATTGCCTTCCTTTTTTAAAAAGAAATATCCCTTTGGTTCAGATTTTTTTTTTGTCAGCATTTTTCAGATCTGCAGAATTTATACAAGGCATCAAATAATCTATATGTATAAAAGAATGAGACAAGGGATCAGAAGCTGAGTCTTATTCTAATGTACATCTTTTAAAGTTTTGATTGATCTGTGATAAATAAATATGTGTGCTTTTTTAGTTCAGAATGTTTTAAAGTTCAATGCTGCTAGTGAGATTTTCTCTTTAGGTTTTGTTGTTTGGCATAAATATTTGAAGTAGGTACAAACATGAGGGTGCCCCTGCACTTTTAGACTTGCTGGTCTTTCAGGAAGTGTACAAAACCCTGTAAGCCTACACTTCTAAACTTCCCCAAACTAAGGATAGGGCAGGAAGCCTGCGCAATATCTCCACCTCTCTCTACCACCAGTGTGTGAAATCTTCACTACGCCCCTACGTGCACCACCTGTGTGCTGGAGGGGCTGAAATGTTATTCTCGGGCTGACAGTGTTACCTTAAACAACAATGGGACAACAAATCCCATCTGCCCTCCACATGGTGTAGCTGTTTCAATAGAGCGACGGACAAGGTTGTATTTTAATAACGATGATATTAATTCACCTAGGCATAAAGACATGCTGTTTTGGTGCACTTTAATAAAGAAGCATAAACTTATTAAACTGGATTGGTAGTACGGACCGACATTTCAATTATTTATAATATCCTTGTCTGAAATGTTTTTAAAAAGCAGGCAACAGCATAATGCATACTATTAATTACCAAAACATGCAAATTTGAGTTTTGATTTATGTATACATGTGTACCCGCTACGTCCTTGAAGACTTAAT